AGAAGTGGCTGATCTGGATAAATTCGCAAATCATGTGCAAGGAAATCATTTCATCCCAAATACCGTCTTCGTAGACTGCACTGCAGACTCTGGTATTGCAAGCCACTATTATGATTGGCTGCGACGAGGAATCCATGTTGTTACTCCAAACAAAAAGGCTAATTCAGGGCCACTTGATGAGGTAATATTTTGTCTAACATCTCTGCTCCTAATTTTCCTTTTTCCTGATTAAAACTCATATGTATCTTGGTTTGCCTGATCTTATTCTCAGTACTTGAAGCTGAGAGCTCTTCAGAGGCAATCATACACACACTACTTCTATGAGGCGACAGTTGGAGCCGGTCTTCCAATTATCAGCACGTTAAGGGGCCTCCTCGAAACGGGTGATAAGATACTTCAAATTGAAGGCATTTTCAGGTCAGCTGCCAGTAATTGTCAATAATTTGTCATTTTGAAGTGTTTAGTATGTTCTAAGCTCTACCAGTTTTTGTTGTTTCTTCTGACTCAAGCTTTTTGCTCTATGGAATTCCTGCAGTGGTACTTTGAGTTATATCTTCAACAATTTTGTGGGCACTCGAGCATTTAGTGATGTAGTTTCGGAGGCAAAGGAGAAAGGTTATACCGAACCAGATCCCAGGGATGATCTATCTGGAACCGATGTTGCCAGAAAGGTACCCGTCTTCTTCACTTATGCAATGAATGGAACATAACCTAGTCACCTTGTTTATAACTAGTGGTCACCTCATCTTGCAGGTTATAATCCTCGCAAGAGAATCTGGTTTGAAGTTGGAACTTTCTGATATCCCGGTACAAAGTCTAGTTCCAGAGCCCCTCAGAGTAAGAAAGACCCTTCCTCTTTGAGATCTCCACTTCTTATTCGACATACGGGTGTCCTTCATATGAGTCTTCTCTAACCAAATGAGAAAAAAAATATCCTTGCGTGATTGCTGCTGCAGGCCAGTGCCTCTGCTGAAGAATTCATGAACCAGTTGCCCCAATTCGACCAAGACATCGCAAAGGAACGACAAGCTGCTGAGGCTGAAGGATATGTAAGTTTATCTTCCTCACGTTCACTCTTGCATATAGCTATCGAAGTCTGGTATGAAAAAAGGTTCCTTACATAAAATAGCCACGGAAGTTCAGGCTCACTAAAAATGGTCCCTAAACCTCAGAATTTTGACAAATTTTTTGTGACTCAAATTTGGAATAACTAACGTAATAATCACTGTGCCCATTTGAAGGTGTTGAGATACGTCGGGGTGGTGGATGTAACACAAGCAGAAGGGCGAGTGGAGCTGAGACGATACAGGAAGGACCACGCTTTCGCCCAGCTTGCTGGCTCCGACAACATCATTGCATTCACCACGAGCAGGTACAAGGAGCAGCCGTTGATCGTCCGAGGACCCGGTGCCGGCGCTCAAGTCACCGCAGGTGGCGTGTTCAGTGATATCTTGCGGCTCGCTTCCTACCTTGGTGCGCCATCGTAAGAAAACAACTGTGATGGCACACTCGCCTGAGCCTGCTGGTTCTGAAAGGAGGAGGGTTTTGTGGAGTTCGTTTTTCTCTGTTTTGTGACGCTTAGGCTTCATTTGGCTTGTTTCATTTCATTTTCTCAGGGAAGTGTTGGATGTGTAGCTGATGTTACTGATGAAATGGTTCAATAAGAGTGGAAGTATATTTCGCTTTCGTCTACTTAATGGTATTTTCCCTGTTAATCTATTAAACTTACTATCTTGTTGAGTAATATCTTTTGCTTTTAGTTTTGGGTATAGGACATGGTCCATGAAACCGTATCGGAGACCGTATGAGAAAAGTAAGCAGTAGGGTATTTTATGGCAAAATTGTGGTTTAACCGTATTCAACTGTTAGTACCGTTAAATACCGCCTATCGGTTTAGCTTCCGATATTGGTATTTTTTGGTTGAACCGTTGGTACAATACGGTTTCATAAACCATGGTAAAGGATGGATGTTTGGATAGTGGTCTAGTTTCTCCCCTTTATTTGTTTCTCTTTTTGCCATGTTGTGGTGTTCTTTCTGTTTTTGCCGGGTAGTTCATGCCTTATGGATCACCTGGTTTGCTTTACTCTAGTACTCTACTACTTTTTTTCATTTTGTTAATACTATTATCATTTATTATATAAAAAAAGAATGGTTTGAATGTTTTTATTTGAATTGGCTGAAATAAAACCAAAAGGCAATAATAGACTTGGACTGTGAGTTGAAAACAAGTGTTATCATAATGGTAAGGACTAAGGAGTGACTGTAACATTTTGGCAAATATAGGATCTATCTTGGAGGAATATATGGAAGAGGATGGAGTGAAAGAGAGAAATTGGAGACAGTAGTAGAACAAGAAAGAGAGAAATACATCACTCATTCGTCATTTTTTCTAGTTCTCTTGGTCATGTTATTTATATTTGTGTTATATACCGTAAAGTCCATTCTAATGACCAACTACAGTCTACATTTAACTGTCAATAATTCAACTTGTGTTCAATGAAAGTACATTCGTCACAACTCCCTCTAATTCAAAACTAGAGTTGTGCCCGGCCTATTGGCCGGGATGTATTTCATTTGAATCATATACTTAAACTATTTTGGGTATTTAATTTTTTTATGTTTCTATAATATATATTAACAAATTAGAAACTCTGTCGTATAATCTAAATCCTCTGGAATTTTGAGCTATGAGTAAACGCTTAACCAACCAATGAGTATTTTTTTGTGTAACATAACCTACTTCAGTCAATATTCTTGACCAATGTAGTCAAAATCACGCCTTAAAACTTAAAAACTTACGATTTTACGTTTTTAGGTCTTCTAAAACACTTCTACACAAAATCTCAATTTTTATAACTTAAGCATTTAAAAACTCCGTTTTAAAACTTAAAAACTCCGTTTTAGAACTTAAAACTTTGTTTTAAAACTTAAAAACTTACGATTTTACGCTTCTAGATCACCAAAACGTTTCTACGTAAAAACTCCCTTTTGACTGCATTGTTCTTGAATTTTACTCCATGCGTATTAAATATTAACTGAGTCGGTCATAGACATATACAATGTATAATAATCAATAATTTTTTATGAGTGGATTAATGCTAACCAAGATAGTCAAATTGATTATCTTATAAATATACATTGTGAATTTTGTGTGAATATAAACTAAATGTCATTTGAAAATGAATTTATAATTTTAATAAATTAATTTAATTTGAAAATTCTTACAAAAAGTATGAATTTTAATTCAATTTGAAATGAAATGTACATATTTTAGATATGTTGCTATTTTTTATAGTTAAGATATTTTACCATTGGTACGCTTATCTAAAGGAAAAGGATTTTGCTATATCAGATTTCCATTGTGGAGAGTTTTTTTTTCTTTGTTCTTTATTTTCGGTGTGATGGGTGGAGAGTTTTTTGGCAGAATAAAGAATACATCCAACTTTAGAAATATATATATCCCATTTTTATAAACAAAACACGTCTAAAAAATGATTGGGAAAAAAATGGATAACCACTGCTACTTGCAGCCGATCAAAAATTAAAAAATACATAGAACTCCGCGAGTTGCGGGCTGGGCTTGAAGGAGTACGTGGCATAGGCGCTTTTCTAAAAGCGCTTTATAATATTTTAAGAAGTATTTGTCGTCAAGTCTGGAATTGGGGGTGGGTTGTTTGTTTCTCAGTGACAGTTGCTGTTCTTTGCCCTGAGGTTGGTTTTTGTGTCAATTTTGGGATTAAGGGCTATCACTGCCGCGGCCTTTGTTATTGCTATTCATTTAGTGACTCTTGCTGCTATTTAAACAGTTCTCTTGTCTTTTGTTCAACAAGGTTTGTTTTCTCCACTACAAACGGATTGGGTTCCGAAGTTTGTTCTGCTTGTAATAGTTGTGGTGGACTGTGTAATTTTTGTTTTCATTTTATTATGATTAATAAAATGACGTCGCTCTTATAAAAAATACCACTTTTTATTGATTAATTTTCCCTATTCTTCATTAATTAGTTGTTAACACGTTACAATTCCCGTCGAAGTATTGGGGGGAAAATGTTAACTTTATTAATGAGGGCAGTTGTAAACAATGATGATAGTACGGGTTGGATTTTGTTTATGATTAGTAAGAAGATAGGGAAAGGGAAACCAACTACGATTCGAATATAAAAGCATTAGACTCAATTTGGTTGTCTCCAACATCTCAAAGTTATCATAATTTGGTTGCATATAAAACCAATCAACTTTTGTGCCGTAAAGGGACGTATAAATATATAGAATACATTGTTTATTGCCTGTTTCTAATCATATGTTTTACATTGATCGCCAAAATTACACTATGCTATGTGAGAAGTAGTCCAAATTCCCCAAGAATGTGAATGTGTCCAACTGCCTATTATGCACGCAATTCTCAAGCTTTTTGCTATGTTGTACCTTTTGACTGTAAAATGAAGTCAAAACCCTCCCTAGATGCATGTTGAATAATCTCCTATGCTTATAAATAAACAATGAGACTCGAGTGAAAGCCTCGTTCATGACCTAGTTCTTTGCTACTTCTAAGTGGGCATGGTCCAATTTGATATGAAATAGGTAAAATACAAAACAAACAAAGACATTAAACAGTGAACATGGACGATACAGAATATAGAATAGGAAATTTTGAGAAGGCCGTAGTTTTTATTATTAAATTGTTTCGATGCAAGTTTGATTGAAATACAATAGATATTAAACAATGACATGGAAGATGCATTGAAAGCTTATGCTCTTTCCTAATAATAACAATTGACTAGCGAGCGATGTCACATATTCGGTCACACAAAGTAGAAGGAAGACAAAGTAATGATGCAGTACAATGGTAAATATGGAAATAAGAAAATGTCAAAGCTAAGAAATTATAAGAAATCATCAGAAAACAATAGAAAATGTCAAACTGAGAAATAATTAGTAGAGAGCGAGGAAGCTAAAATATAGGAGTAACCATTGAAGGCTCGCGTATTCCCCCTTCCATTTTCTTTCTTTTTTCAATTTTGAAATGACAAGAGAAACAAGCTAAGATGTGAAGAAGTATTGCAAACCCTTCGAAACAACCTTCTTCAGTTTTTTTTTTTAAATTACTCAAAATTTATCATCATCTAAATAAGAAAAAGAAATCGATGAACATAATTCCAACCTTTTCTCTATTACTATGTATTCTTGTAGTTGTTGTAAATTCCGATCCACAAGTATTCGACGTGACGCAATTTGGAGCCAAACCAGATGACCAAACAGACATCAGTCTGGTAAGTTTGTCCAAAATTTTCTTTTTATCAATTATGATTTACTCTCATGTTACCAATTCAATTACCACATATTTTGATCATTAACCATTTTGCTTCGTTCCACCCTTAGGCATTGATAAATGCATGGGCCAAAGCTTGTGCATCGGCGACGCCAAGCAAAGTATTGATTCCGGCCGGGAAATATGTGGTGGGAACGGTGGGGATGGAAGGGCCTTGCAAGAGCGAGGTCCATGTCCAAATCGATGGCTATTTGAAGGCCCAGATCGTGGGCCTCAGGCGCCTGAGTTGGATCACGTTCTCGGGCCTAAAAAATCTGGTCTTGTTTGGCTCCGGCACCCTCGACGGCCAAGGCCCCACGGCGGCGAAACTGCCTGAGAATCGCAAGAACAAAGTTGGCATGCCACTTGCTGTGGTAACACTATTCACCACATTGCTCTATCTATGATATTGTTTCGTAGCAATTTTGTGTTTACGAGTCTCCTCGACTTATTTGTATCAAATGTCGTTAATAGCATAGATGAGGCAATAAATCAAAGTGACTCTACTTTTATCTTCAACACCTCGATGACAAAAATTCATCTGATCTAAAAATTCCACCTGTTTTCCTCTTGTCAAATTCGTATAGTTAATTCGATCATTACTATCAAATTTGAGATTTGTAGATTATTTCTATTTATGAGTTCAAAGTTATTATTCTAATCCGACAACTCAATGACTAATATAGGTTGATTTCGAGTAGAGAAATTATATATACCGATACTAAATTGATACAATTTTTCACAATTGGTTGAACCATTTCATCATATTGTTTGTTCTTCAGAATCTGCGATTGGAGTCCATCACCAACGGACTAATCGAAGGCCTAACGTCCAAAGACAGCCGCAGCTTCCACGTCCACATCTCCCGCTCGAGCAACATCACCGTCCGCGGCCTCACCGTCACGGCGCCGCCGGACAGCCCCGACACTGTCGGCATATACCTCCGGCGGACCCACCGGGTCAACATCTCGGACGTCGACATCGCCACGGGGGACCACTGCATCAACCTCGCCGACGGGTCGCAGCAGGTGAACGTCCGGAACGTGACGTGCGGTCCCGGCGGCCGGACCGGCGTCCTCGTCGGCAGCCTCGGGAAGACTCCCGACGAGGAGAAGGTGATGGACGTCGCGGTCACGAACTGCAGCTTCCACGGGACCGCCGGAGGCGTGAGGATCGAGGCGGTGCCGGGGACGATCAACACCGCGATGGATATCACGTTCGAGGATTTGGTCATGGACAAAGTTGAGAATCCCATCAGCGTTGATCAGAAGTTTTGCCCTGTTCAGTCCTGTGAAAAGGTTAGTGCAATTAAATCATCGAGAGTCCGGTTGCATACGAAAAGTACCGTTCTTTATTATTGTATATGTTCTATAACTTTGTTGACCAGCCATGATTTGAGTACGTAAAAAGAAAAGAGAGAGATGGAGTTTCTCTCGCTTTTGGCATAGCAGACTCCAGCGGGGATAAATTTTCGTGTCTAGTACGTTTTTCAATATTTTCGATTAACCTAATTTGTATATGATCAATTATTTTGTAGGTGGAACCGAAGGTGACAATAAAGGATGTGAGCTTCAAGAACATCAAGGGGACTTGTGCATCGCCATTGGCCATAGACATTTCGTGCAGCAGTGCTTCCTTCTGTAAGAATTTGGAGCTTGCTGATATTGATCTTAAGCCTGTTGGTACTGCCGCTGGGCCAACAGCGAAAACCTTGAAATCTCAATGCACCAATGTTAAGGTCATAAAGTCTGGATTAGTTAGCCCAGATGGGTGTTAATTGTGGCCAAAATTAATTAAGACAATGAATTAACCTTGTAATAGTACTTATTTGTGGCTTGATATTTGTAGTTCTTTTACTCTTTTTTGGCACAAAACAACAATGTGTGTAGCTAGTAAATTGTTTGATAACTCTATGAATTTACACAACATAACATATTGATTAAATAGTAGGGTATACATAAATCGTGGCGATTGTGGTCTTGTGATACATGATTCAGAAAGTCATACTTTTGTAGAGTTTGCTTTCATAGTTTGATTTTTCCCCCTGAATGATACGTGCATATACTAAAAGGGAAGTGGATTATACATCCCAAAGGATTCGAGTTGGCATGACTAACATGGAGGAACAATCTATGAATGTAACGCACCATAAGTTGTAGTTATTAATATGATGTAACAATGCCGACAATTTCTAGGTGTAGTTACCTTACCTCTCCATTAATTAGAGTTAACCCCAACCAAATTGCCGGTCAAGTGGAACGTGCACTAATTGCATATTTGACTTGGCTTGATCTTAAGGAGAAACGGATTTAAAGTTCTCAAATGGTCCCTGCCGGCCATGCCATATAAAACTAGATAGAGAAAAGAACGAGAAAAATATGAGTAGGAACTAGCAACTCACTACAATTTGAAATCCACCCGCTTTATTGAAATTTAGTCGTCATTTCTAATTTCAAGAATAGTTACTTGACGTTTCTCAAACAGATATTGGTTGATGATTAACAAAAATGCCATAAACGGATTAAATGCACAAGAATCAGGGACCGCCCTTCTACAATCACCCGACCAGTAAACCTTGATTACTGTCTACCTAACCCTATAAATGAATTCTCCTGACTCTGAAGAGTGGTGAAGATGTTAGTACATTAGTCGATTACATGGACATCACAGTCGATCGAAGTTGTTCTTCAGAATCACGATAATTTTTACTTAGAATTGACCCATAATCATCATATAGATTATACAACTTATGGAAAAGTGAAAGAAACCACTTAATTTGTCATTTTCCAAAGACTGGAAATAATTGAATTGGTCTTGCAAGTTTGGATCATGCGTACTATTGCATAGTAGAGTGTAGATGTATGAAGCATAAATTTTCTTATGGAAAGAGTCTAGGTTGATACTTTTAATTATTTCTAATTATTCATATATAGCTTTGGATTTTACTGATTGAAAAGTTCATAGGTTGATACTATTCTATTTGTTTCGTGTTACCTCATTCACTTAGCTTTTACTTTTTAAGTGTGTGACCCAGTAATGAGTGTACGTTCTTATTCGACCGAGTCTTCATAATACAATTTGATTACACGATCTAAAACATTATTATTAGACATATATAAAGTGTATAACAATGTTCTACATAACAATAAATGAGAAAAAATCGTTATTTAAATGAAATTATTGAATATTCACGAACTTTAAACTTGCTTTGGATTTGTGAGCATAAAATAGTTTGTTGCGTAATAGGCTTTTTTCACAAGGAACAAGTTCAATAGGTTGACGAGGCAAAAGGCCTAACCGTAGCCATCGCAGGTTCCCATTAGTGGAGGCAAAAAGGAATCGATCCAAATTAAACAATAAGTTTGATGTGTCACACCTCTTTTAGAATTATCATGTTAACCAAGTCAACATGAAAAGCAAAGGATAATTGTTTTTATACACAATTAAATAAATTATAATTTGCCCATGTATTTCACTTAGGAAAACCATTGAAATGGTAAACAGTATAGTCACCATATATATAAAAGATTAGTAATGCGATAGTTTTTAGTATATTATATAATACATGTTTGTTTATAATTTTCTACTTTGCAGGCTACATATATTAATGTTAATCCAACTGAGATGCTTTCATTTTATAAATTATCCCCAGCCCAAACTGGTTCATGTAATTTACTTTCTGCTGAAAAAATAGATAGGACTATTTGAAAAATCTTGAACCAATTCAAGATTTGGTTTGGTATGGATCTTATATCACTAAAATGGTTTGGTTTGGTTCATAGATTGCATTATGGGTTGTTTTGATTTTTTGGTCCGGTTAAAACACAAATTATTGGACTAATTGTGTATCCAGACAACTTCAAAAATTCGTGTTATCAGGCATTTCCCTACATCGCAACAGAATCTAAGCCTCAGCCCTAATTTCGCAAATCACGTCCCTCCTTCCTCCACAGATCACACTTCACTAGAGAAAAAGACGATCATGTCTCCATAATCCATATGACATGACGTTAATATATATATAACGTTAAAGTGGAAGTTAGATTGCTCTAACTTTGTGTCTTTGTATTTGTTTGAATTCCGGTATTGCACATGCATGTTAGAATTCGGATTTCAAGGCAAAAAAACAATATTTCCCCATTTATTGGTTTGATGGAGCGGACCCTCGAAAATGACTATAAACGTTATATATAATCACATTGCATCATTTTCCAGTCCTAATTTACTTGGTTATCACAAGGTATAACCACGTCGTCTAGTATTGATACCAACAAACAACTATTGTTGAAATTGTGGTTTCAAACATTTGTAAAACAGGGGGGGGGGGGGGTTGGAATTATGATCCAAGATTAATTATTTCTTTACCGACATTACTACCATATAAGGTTCACTTACCATGTAATTAATTTGGTACACACTACTAAATAAACAGCAAAACTAGAGTGAATAAATGCATGCCCCTTCCACTACTAACCCCATTGGGTGCCTTTTTTTATTGTTTCTTCGTTCATTTTGGCTTTTGCCTTCTCTTCTCTTCCTTCTTCAACTATTTTTGACACAGTCAAAACTTCCCTTTCCTTCAAACCTCTCTCCCTCCAGGTTTGCATATAACAACCTTATTTGGTAGTGGAAATTGAAGACCAAGTTCAAGGAAATAATTCCCTATATATCACCTCCCTACACAAATTCTCCCTCTCCATTACCTTCCTTTCTAAAGAAACCCTTTATAATAATTACCCAATACCCTCCAAACCCTTCTTCCATAAGTAGTTAAAACCTTCAAACTTCCCTTCTTTTTCACCATTCAACCTTAATCCTTAAAACTTTCCTTCTTCTTCTTCTTAACCATTCAACCTAAATCCCATGCAACTTTGACACTCAAAGAAAGGGAAATTCAAAGAGAAGTCAGCAAGTCGTGCTTGAGATCTTGCCTCAGAGTTTCTTTTTGTCAAAAATAGAGGCACCCACAAATAAGGAGTATATATATAATGGTTCTTCTTTGGGGTTTCTCAGTCATTTCTCTTGCTCTATACATCTTCAACAACATCCCCATCAAGAAGGAGAAGAAAGGGCTTCTTCTTCATCATCAACCCCATCAAAGTGGTAGCAACCACAACAACAAGCTGACGGGCATGAAGAAGAAGAAGATCAGGCCGAGCAACCTCATCGTGCCGATCCAAAGCTACCCATGTGCGAAATCGGAGTTCGAGGAGGTGTACAAGAGGTCGGAGAGCAAGGAGCTCGAGGTTCGCGGGAGGAACTTCTGCCTGGCTAGCAAGAAAGGGAGAAGGGAAGTCATGGAAGATGGGTATGGAGTTGTGGCCGACATCCATGGAGACACCAAGCAAGGGTTTTTCGCGGTGGTCGATGGGCACGGTGGCCGGGCGGCGATGGAGTACGTGGCGGAGAACTTGGGGAAGAACATAGTGGAAGCCATGGATGGTGGTGAGGTGATGGTAGAGGAAGCGATTCGAAAGGGATATTCGGTTACAGACAAAGGGTTCCTTAGCCAGGTAAACTTAATTGTCCGATGCTTGTTGCTTTCATGTGTCCTTCCAACGAAAGTCTTGATTTGGTGGAAATGGTCAGTCGTATGACTTGGTCTTCAAGTTGACAGAATAATTTAACTATTCATATGTCGGCATTTAGGGTGTTCACATCATTATATTCTTTCTCCCATTTGATTGGGTAACTAAACTTTCTTTATGTGTGTGTTAGGTTACTAGCTAGCTAGCTAGCTAGTGTGAAAATCAGTGTCCACATTAGGCTTAATTGCGAGATTTTTCGGTTATCAAAGTTTTTGTTTTGCGCTTAGACTATTTACGATATTTTGATGGAACCCTTATAAATTGAAATTCAATGCGCGTTTCTTTTTATGGTTGAATTTCTCCTTATTGATCAGTTCTTAATTTTGTTTTTTTTAATCTTCCTTATGCAGGGGGTTAGTAGTGGAGCTTGTGCTGCAAGTGTAGTGATGAAAAATGGAGAGATGCACATAGCCAACGTGGGAGATTGCCGAGTGATCCTAAGCAAAAACGGAGTGGCCGCTCCATTGACAGTCGATCACCGTCTGAGCACTAGACAAGATGAGCGCCAACGTATTGAAAATTTGGTATGATTAATTCTATAAACCGCTTAATAAATTGATCTTGTTAGGCATCAACCATCAAGGATATGACACAACATTAGTGCTAATTCTGGTACTTGTGTACGATTGCAGGGCGGATACGTGCACTGCGACAGAGTCCAAGGTTCCCTAGCCATCTCGAGGGCTATAGGGGACCTCCATCTGAAGGAATGGGTCATCTCCGACCCCGAGATCACTAAGCTTCCAATCACTCCAGATTGCCAGTTCTTGATCATGGCTTCTGATGGCCTCTGGGACAAGGTTGGTGAGCAAGAGGCAGTGGATGAAGTCTCAAGGCATTATGATAACAACAATGGAGTACTGATGGAGTCATGCAAGAAGCTGGTTCAGTTGGCTTTCAGCAGAGGCAACTTGGATGATGCTACTGTTATGGTTATTAGTCTAGGGTGTTTCATGGACCCACAACCACCAATTTTGATCAACTAGTTGATGAGGAGTTACGTAGTTAAGTAATCTTAGAGTCATTATTTCCAATGGATATATACCTAGCTAGCTAATGTCTTTGGAAATATCAAAGACAAAATGTTGGATCTATGTGTATTATATTTAGCATTTTCATATCCTGTTAATTTAATCACTTGCTTATGTACTTTGTTGCGTTGTTAAATACATAATTAATGAGAAGAGTTTCTATCTATATGATATCATCAGTCTATTTTTGTGAACTTCTATCAACGAATATTAAACGGGTAAGACTATGCAAAAGCATGGTATAAAATCACATGTAGAGCTTATCAATATCAATTTTGTGTGATCGTTTGTGTACCTTAATAATCAAGAGCTGAACCACACTACATAATAAAGTTATCCAAAGATATACATTCATCTACATTATGTACAATAGGAAAAAAGCTATAAACTTAATAAAAGATTCCGTCCATAACTCAAAGTTAGTTATAACGAAAAGAAACATGTTTTAATAACTTTTGTTTCGATGCACCACTCTACATGTATTTTTTAATAAACCATTCAAAAAAACCATATTCTTAGTTTCAAATCCAATTATAATTATTAATGATGTCAAATTTATTGAAGAAAATCGGTTTTAAAAGTACTGAAGTCTACAGATATTAAACTTCAGGAATCTAATATAATACAAGAACAAATATTGTTTGTAGTTTGAGTGAGATAAAATATAAAGGACTAAATTGTAATATATCTCCATACCGCTGAAACCCTAACGCCACAGTCGCAAGGTAACTGTCCAAAATCTTACTAAACGGCTAAGAAGTAAGAACCCTTCTCACGGCTGTCATCAATGGCGGACGGCGGCGGCGAAGAAGTCCAGGTCGTATCCTTGGGAGGCAAGGGCTCATCCCTTTCCTCCTCCTCCGTCAACGCCATCGCTGCCGGCCAAGCTCGACTCCGCATCGACTCTTCGGCGCTTGATAGGCTAACCACTCAGTCCCCTCCGCCGCAGTCTCTGAAAACATGCAGAATCCCGATCCCTGAAACATTAACCCCGGTCGAATGTCGAGCCTCACTCGTCGTCCTGCTCAACAAGCTCCTTCGCCACCCGAATCCTTCACAAATCCGCACCGTCCTCCCCAATCTGATCGCCGATGTCCTAAATTCGGATTCCGGCGTCGCGCCGAGTCTCGCGTCAGTTGAAGTAACGGAAGAGGAAGGGTTGGTGGTCCAGAATTCCTGTGCGGAGCTGTACGGCGTTTCCGCCGTTATCGACCACGAAGCAGCTGCTCTGGCGACTGTAGTCGACGCCGTGGCTGCATTGTCGTGCGAGGCGCTGAAAGGAAACGACTTGGCGTTCAATTCCACGGATTCTGGAGATGGACATGTTGACAAGGATGAGATTGGTGTCGCCAGTGATATGAAGTTGTTGCTCAGTGGATCGAAGATGGCGGGAAAGAATTCGATCCAGGCAATTTCAAAGATTCCTGAAGTTCACGGAGGATTGAGGCAGTTTGTGAAGTCAGTGCATTCGATGACGAGGGTCAAGCTGAATTCCTCTGTGAAACCCGTGGATGGAGGGGAGAGGGAGGCGGTGGCGGCAAAGCTGCAACCTTTACCCGCCCTAAGGAATGTGGGGGCAAATAGTTTAAGCAGAGCGAAGCTGAATGTTGAAGCTGTAGGGAGTGAAAGTTCTAGAACTGGTTTGCTTACTCTGTTTGAGGAGAAATGCCCTACAGAAATTGATTTGAGCAATGCTGCTAAGTTGGTTTCAGATTTGCTCTTCGAAGAGGATTATCCAGCATTCGTTCATGCATTGAATTGTTTGCTGGAGACTGTTTGGAATATTGTCTCGTGGGAGGTTGTGACGGCTTTTGTTGTTCTGGAGGGTGGAGATTTGGAGGGTGCGATGACTACTGAGGTGAATGGAGGGGATAAACCGGTGGACAAGAAGAGCGAGAAGAAGAAAAAGAAGGCGGTTCTGGGGAAAGGAACTAGCCTGACTGTGCAGTTGATTAAGGAATGGTTACAGAGAAAGGAAGTGGGATCTAGTGATGGTCAAACTGTGTTGGAGAAATGGGTGGAGGATGTGTTATTGTTTTTCAATCACAAGCGCCCTAAATTTGGGGAGTTAGTAACCACAGTTAAAGGAATAGTGGAAAGCAATGAAAGTAGAAGGCTTCCTAAGCTTCCTAAGGTAAAAAGAGTTCATTGCAACTTTGCAGTTGGATGTTTTGTTAGCTTCCTCAGTTGCCTGCTATCTTTCTTCGCTGTTTTTTGTGTCCTTTTTACCAATCTGCTAAAGCTTTTCTTCGTTGACAAAGCTGCAACCATTTTAACATTCTTGTTCTTTTCTTATGATTTGAAAAAACAGGGTACTCGTGACTTCTCTAAGGAGCAAATGACAATAAGAGAAAAAGCATTCTCAATCATTGCTGACGTCTTCAAGAGGCATGGTGCAACTGCTCTAGACACTCCAGTTTTTGAGTTGAGAGAGACTTTGATGGGGAAATATGGGGAGGATTCAAAGTTGGTTTATGATCTTGCTGACCAGGTATGCTGTGTTGTTATGATTATTTCCGAAGTACTCTTTTAGGGAAATATCGAGCTTGAAAGTTGGGGTTTTCCCTTGAGTCATTTAGTTTATCCATTTAGAAGGAGATTCATCATGATTTCAATCTTAAGCTGATATGACTGTCTTGTGAATTTCACAGGGTGGGGAGCTATGTTCTTTGCGGTACGACTTAACTGTTCCATTTGCTCGGTATGTGGCTATGAATGGTATCACATCATTCAAAAGGTACCAGATAGCTAAAGTGTACAGGAGAGATAATCCAGCAAAAGGAAGATACCGCGAGTTTTATCAGTGTGATTTTGATATTGCTGGACAGTATGAAGAAATGGGACCGGATTTTGAGGTCATTAAAATTCTGACTGAATTACTCAATGAGCTAGATATTGGTGATTATGAGGTAATGCCTACTATCTTGCTTGCACAACGCTGCCTCCATAATTAATATCTTGCTTGAACAAGTCCTGTTTGATGTAACTGGGAACAAGTCATTCATCTCCAGGTATTGAATTAAGCAATTGATCTTTCCCCCCCTTCTTTGTTTTACTTTCAACAGGTCAAATTAAATCACCGGAAGTTGCTTGATGGCATGTTAGAAATATGTGGAGTGCCATCTGAAAAGTTCAGGACAATTTGTTCCAGCATTGACAAATTAGATAAACAATCATTCGAGCAAGTAAAAAAGGAAATGGTAAGACTTTCATCTCTTCAGCTAATGCTGGGGAGCTTTTGCGTTGGGATTTTTATGATGATTCGTGATGCTATTCACTCACTGCAAATCTGCAATGTCTCTCAGGTCGAGGAGAAAGGTCTAAGTGCGGTGACTGCAGACAAAATTGGTACATTTGTGAAAGAAAGGGGATCCCCCAAGGAATTACTATTGAAGCTCAAACAAGAGGGCAGCGATTTTTTGCTGAATGCTTCTTCTAAACGTGCACTGGATGAATTGGATATTCTTTTTGAAGCACTGGACCGTTCAAAGTGCATTAGCAAAGTTGTTTTTGACTTGAGCCTTGCCAGAGGGCTTGATTACTATACCGGAGTCATATACGAGGCTGTCTTCAAAGGAACTACACAAGTGCGTCCTTGTTATTGCTGTTTTGTTACTCCAACTTTGATCTGGGATTTTGTTCGTTATTAAGTCTGGTCAAATGTATCGATGCCTTTTAGGTTGGCTCGATTGCTGCTGGTGGTCGTTACGACAACCTTATCGGCATGTTTGGCACCAAGCAAGTCCCTGCTGTTGGAGTCAGCCTGGGGATCGAACGCGTGTTTGCTATAATGGAGCAGGTTCAGAAGGACAGGAATCAGGTAAGATGGTGAATGGAGTACCAAATATAGAAAAACTTCAGGCCAAGTTTTTTGCAATTAATCAAACTCTGGGAATTAGAAAGCTAAAAATAAACAGGCTGTAGAGTGGTTCCGACTTTTGAGTGATCTGATGTTCCAAGTGATTAGGAGCTGCAATGTTGTTAGGTTGATATAGCAAAAATTGTCTATCTTATGACTACCATTAACGCCTAGCGCCAAGCATTAAGACCGAAATTGAACTCTTGAAACCGATTCTCCTTACGGGGTCCATATTCTTGAGCTAGCTAAGAGTTAAAAGATCATTTGATAGGCGCTCATGTGGTTGTTTTTCCTTTTCTGTTTTGGCCATCGGTAGATTGTTCGTCCTACTGAAACCCAGGTTCAGCTGAGCATCCTCGGGGACAAAAGCAAGCTGCCTCTAGCTGCAGAGCTTGCTGGGGAGCTGTGGGACAGCAAAGTGAAAGCGGAGTACGTCGTTAACAAGAGGTCTGACAAACACATGGCCAGAGCCAAGGAATCAAAGGTACCGTGGATGGTCCTCGTTGGGGACAAGGAGCTCGAGAGTGGTACCGTGAAGCTGAAGAACATGGAAGCCAACATTGAGGAAGAGGTTCCGAGAGCTACGTTTGTTCAGGAATTGCAGAGACGGTTGAAGGAATGAACAATACATGCCCTAGTCAAAGCAGTGCTGCCGGTTTTGTTATTTTGGATGATGTACTTGGTGTATTAGGATATAGAAAGGAGAGGGAACTAGGTACTACTATTGATAGAAGAAAAGGATGACTTTTCTTCACCCTTTTTTAAGTCATGGGTTTCTTGTGGAGAGGTGAACTAGTTTGGTCAAGGTGCGTTGTATTTGAGAATTCCGAATTTCACCCATCTAAAATCTTACGAATATTGTCCATTGTTTTCTTCTTTTGCTGGTTACCAAGGAATTCATTATGTTTTATGAGGCTAGGAAGAAGGAAAGTATCGTAAGACGTAATGTTATGCATACATATATCATGGATGGAATCTGGCAGTTGCGCCCTATGTTAGGAATCATATACTCTGTTCTCATTCTCCATTTCCCCATTTGCAATCTAACCCCCTTGGATTTTGATTCGATTCGATTCTATCTACGCTTTCCCTTAACAATAAAGAGGTGGGCTCGTGCCCTAGTGGTGTTCAACTTTTGGAAATAGAAAAATAGTGACCTCAAAAGTGGGATAAAAGGTATGTTATAAAAAATGTGAGGATAAAAAGGAAGGTTAGTGGTATTTCTAGTATCATTTATTATATTCTTCCAACATATCTATGGCTTTACTAAGTTGTTTTGTAAGTTTTAGTCTCTCATATTAAAAATAATCACATCCAATTTTGTATTTTAACTCGTACATTTACAATGAGTTAAAAGAGTCACCTCATCTCAAAGTGAGTACATGACACCACCTCAAATTTGGGAGAGCGCAATAAATTATATGGGTATTTGTGTGTTAGGAGGAGTAGAATTGAAACTACTGAATCTTGTTATCATTAAGGATTTTTTTACCAACAAACTAGTACCTTGATATATTCATTTAAGTTATCTATTAGTATATCATATTTTGAAAATAATATTTTTTTTCATACTATTTGTTACTGTAAATGTCGAAAGAGCATTTTTTACGTAATAAATTATACGACGGACACTCCTTAAAAATGAATGAGTAATTAAATCATACATAAATATTCGAAGAAATGTAAGCCATATTTACTAACCATGAGTACACCCATAGGCAAACAATTTAAACAAGTTGTTTAACATAGAATCAAAACCATGGGTTCACAAAACACTTGGAATGTTGAAAGTTCCTATTACTACTCAATCACATTACCTAACTCAGAAGCAAGAACTCCTGCCACCTTCCCCACTCCTGGTCCTCCATCCATTCCCAAAAGCGAAGAACAAACACCCACGTTCAGATCAGAAGGGAGGGTGTTCTACTTTCCCATTTCCCACCAGTTTGACCGTATAATAATCCCAGTCTCCCGCTCTCTCCCCCAGTTAATTAATTTAATTAATCTCTCCACCCTCGCCTCGCCTCGCCTCTGCATCTGCATATGGCTCACTCACTCACAGCCTGCCTGTCACTGCTCTGTCAAAAAAGCATTTCAATTTTAAACAAACAAGTTGGACATCTCTATCTATCTATGCACATGCAATTACCTCATTATGACCGTCTTTACTCTCCTCCCAAGCTGCCTGCCTCGCTGTAAATGCAGCTGTGGGGTTTTTAACTTAGACAAGGACAACACCAAGAGAAAAAAACTCCACAGCTGCTCTTCTTGATGGGGAAGAAGGGAGGCAGCACTTCCTCTTGGTTGACTGCAGTGAAGAGGGCTTTCAGATCTCCCACCAAGGAATCCACCGATAACCGAAGAAGAGGCCAAAACCATGACCAAGACGTCGTCGACGATGAAGAAAAGGTATGCTGTTGTTGTGTTTTTCTTTCTTCTTCTTTTTTAGTTTTGGTTGGATTTTTCCATTTGGCGCTCAAATGCCTCCTCTGCCTGCAGAAACGAGAGAAGCGGAGATGGATATTCAGGAAACCCACCAGCCAAGAAGCTGCTGCACCAATCCAACAAAAGCCCACACCTCCACCCGCCGACCAGTCAGCAGCAGCAGCAGCTGAGCAGAGGCATGCCATCGCGGTGGCCGTAGCAACCGCAGCAGCTGCAGAAGCCGCCGTGGCCACCGCTCAGGCTGCTGTGGAGGTCGCCAGGCTTGCTAGGCCTAACTACCACGCCAGGGAGCACTATGCTGCCATTGTCATTCAAACCTCCTTTAGAGGATATCTGGTATAGCTAATAACAACCCATTTCCCCCCTTTTTCCTTTTCCTCCCTGATTTGATCTTCGAAAGTCTCATTAAATGGTGTTTGCTAATTGAAGGCGAGGAGGGCATTGAGAGCGCTGAAGGGGCTGGTGAAGTTGCAGGCACTCGTCAGGGGACACAACGTGAGGAAGCAAGCCAAGATGACATTGAGATGCATGCAAGCTCTGGTTCGAGTCCAAAGTCGAATCCTCGATCAAAGGATGCGCCTTTCCCACGAAGGCAGCCGGAAATCCACCTTCAGCGACACCACTAGCATTATCGAATCAAGATACTTGCAAGACCTCTCTGACCGGAAATCCATGGTACGCTTTACATCTTATAATGTCGTCCTTGTCATCAACCGCGAATTTGATTCATTCTAAATCGAATCTGACCCTGAAACAGCAGTCCAGAGAAGGAAGCAGCAGCATTGCCGCTGACGATTGGGATGAGCGGCCGCACACCATTGAAGAAGTGAAGGCAATGCTTCAGCAGAGGAAAGATGCTGCCTTGAATCGCCAGAGGAACCTGTCTCAACAGGCGAAGATATGGAGGAATAGTGGCAGGAGTCCATCAGTAGGAAGCGAAGCAGAGCTCCAAGACAACAGACCACCGCAACAATGGCTGGATCGATGGATGGCAGCCAAGCCATGGGATAGCAGTAGAGCCAGAGCATCAACTGACCATAGAGATCCAATCAAGACCGTAGAAATGGACACGTCATCGCAGCCGTACACTTACCTGGCATCATCCAATAACAGCAGGAGACCGTCGAACCAAACCCACCAAAGACCCAGCTCTCCGGCGCGTCATAGATCCAACGAAATGCGGCCGTTTCACCATCAGAGTCCCATCGCGGTCACGCCTTCTCCGTCGCGGACCAGGCCGGTCCAGGTCCGGTCGGCGAGCCCCAGATCGTCGTGCTTCAGAGAAGATTACAGATCGAATTCGTCACAGACTCCCAGCCTCAGATCCAATTACCGCTACACCGGCAATTTGTCGAACCATCAACACGGATTGACAAGGAGCTCGAATTCCTCTGCCGCTTCCTCCGCCGTCGGCTCGCTGCCGAATTACATGGCGGCAACGGAATCAGCGAGGGCAAGGAGCGCGCCGAGGCAGAGACCTTCGACGCCGGAGCGGGACGGAGGGAACAGAGGACCCGGAGCTGGCGGGTGTGCGAAGAAGCGGCTGTCGTTCCCGGTGCCGGATCCACACTTGACTTCCGGACTGGGCCAGTACCCGTTGAGAAGCCCGAGCTTCAAGAGCGTGAGTAGCAGCGCGTATTACGGCGGGTTGGAGCAGCAGTCGAACTACTCGTCTTGCTATACGGAGAGCGTGATTGGGTGCGGCGGCGGAGGTGGAGGTGGCGGTGGCGAGGTTTCCCCTTCTTCCACAGGCGATCGCAGGCGGTGGTTAGGGTGACGTATTAGATCGAAGCTGGGTCGGGTCATGGATAACCCGTTGGTGAATTAACACGTTATTTTTATTACGATTATTGTTTGGGAACATCACTTGTAGTTAGCAATTAGCATGTAACCTTAATGGTGTGGATTTAATTTTGCTAAAATGCTGACTTCATAAGCATTATTCGATGATTGTGCATCTTGAGAGTATATTCTCGCAGCAGTTTTGTGAGCATCATAGAGTCTGAATTGGATAGAAGTGGCCATGTAGGAGCTCTCACATAATTAGGAATGACAATGGACAGGTCCTGGTGCGGGTTTTTTGGTACACAGACCCGTTTCATGACAGGTCGGGTAATTTATCACGGGTTGCAGGTCGGGGTAGATCGACCCAATGGGTATGTAATTCATATTAATAGTTATTATTATTATAAGATTAACAAAACAAGCAATATTATGATAAATGTAGTTAAATTAGTAGAGAAATTAATGTTTTCACTAATTTATAACTTTATTATAGCTAAATTATGATATAACAAAAGAAGATTTCTAAGTAATTTGACTAAGATTACATGTAATTTAGGCAAGACCGGGTCGAGAATGGGGTAGGTCAGGGCAAGTCCGGTCAATGAGAGTACTTATGCCCGCCCCGCCTACGGGGCGAGTCGGACCCACCCCAAAAAAGGCCAAACAAATCGGGTAAAACAGGTCAGGTCGAAATTGTCATCCCTACATTGCTACACATAATGTTTGTGTTGGTTCATCGGTTGGTCATAAATGCTAGTAACACCTACAACAAGAAACTCATTATAATTTATCGGGCAAACACAGATGTTTGGCCAACTTTTTTGAAGGCTATTCTGAATTCTCCACTGATGTTGGAAACTATCCATGATAGATTTTGATCGTGTTTTCAAGGCTATCCATAACATATTTTGGGCTATTTTTTATTATTATATTTTCATCGATTTTTCAAAAATTTCTACGATTTTTTTAAGGCTATTTTCATTGATTTTGAAGGTCATACATTACAAATTTTGGCCAATTTTTTTTAAGGCTATTCTTCAAAATATTTTAAAAACTATCCAACACAAATTTGGACCGATTTTTTTAAGGCTATTTAGGGGTGGAAAACGGGACGGGATTGGGTACCCGTCCCGTTTGAAACGGGTATCCAATCCCATTTGGAGATCAAAGTTCATCCCATATCCCAAACCCGAACGGGTAACGGGTACCCGTCAACCCGTACGGGACGAATAACGGGTACCCAAACTACCCGTTTATACCTCGTTCAACAAATAAAACAATAAAATAAAGCTATTGTAAATGAGTTAGAACAACAACGTAACAAAGTTTTAGCTACTGTAATTGTCCCATAAGTTGCGTCCCCATAAGTTCAAGCAAATGGGTACTAAATTTAGTACTAAATTTATTTTGTACTGGACGATAGTTAATTTCATTGATGGTGAGTTGGCCATGGCTCAATCAAAGAGCTTTTCAAAGCCTAAGGATGGTTCTGCTGCAGTGGGAGAATATGACTCCTCTAACTAGTGATGGCTACTATGTGCTAACACTTCACGATATTAGAAGTAGGACTATATATAGTCTATCATTTGTCGTTTCATTTTCATGGATATATTATACGGGTAATACGGGTACCCAAAGTATCCAAACGGGTATTAGCGGGTAACCCGCGGGTACCGAATGTTGTGATTCTTAATCCCAAGTCTCATCCCACAATAAATATAATGGGTATTTGGGTACCCGTAACCCTCAAAAAACGGGACGGGTTTGGGTATTCCCAAATACCCGTTTCCCGTTGTCCACCCCTAAGGCTATTATTCACTGATTTGAAGAATATCAATCTGATTTTGAAGACTATCCATTGTCGATTTTGAAAGATATCATTCACAGATTTTGTGCGATTTTGTTAAGGCTATTCTTCATCGATTCTCAATGATATTAATCACAGATTTTACTCAATTTTTTGGATTGCTATCCTTCCCCGATTTTGAAGGCTATCCATCAAAGATTTTGGCTGATTCTTGAAGGTTATTCCTCACCTATTTTGAAGGCTATCCATCATAGAATTTGACCAAATTTTTGAGGGCTATTATTCGACATGTTGAAGACTATCCGGAGCCATTTTGAAGGCTATCATTCACAGATTTTGTGCATTTTGTTAAGGCTATTCTTAACCGATTCTCAAGGATATCCATCATAGATTTTGATCAATATTTTTGAATTACTATTCTTCACCTTGGATTTTGAAAGGTACATATCACATATTCGACATAAGGCTATTATTCACTGAGGATTAAGTCTATTAAACACCGATTTGGGCGGATTTTTTCCGGAGCCATTTTGATAGAGTAAGGATATTATTTTCAAAACCTAACAATTAAGCTAATTTCAAGCTACCCATAATCAGTATTGATTTTATGGTTGTAAGACAAGTGTTGAAAGAGTCTTTTCGGCTTTGGGTTGCATCAATAACAAGTTTAAGAACAAATATGCGATAAGTTCGTGAATAATTGTCTAGTAAGATATAGAGAGACAATTTTTTGAGCAGTGTAGACACCAAGTATATTCTACAATTATTTCCGAATATGAAAACACATAAGTGATCTGTAGCCTCCAGAATCGAAAGAAAATGGCATTTCGGAAAAATAGCCCGAAATCAGTAATGGTACCCCTTTGGAATCTGCCAAAAATTGACCCGGAATAAATTCGCCCAAATCGGTGCTTAATGGACTTAATCATCGTTGAAGAATAGCCCCAGGCCGAATCCGTGACCTGTAGCCTTCAAAATCTAAAGACAATGGACTTTCGTCGCCCCTTAAATTACGAAAATGCCATCTGAAAATAAATTGGCCCAAATCGGTGCTTAATGGACTTATCATCCGTGGAGAATAGGATCAATAGACTTCATTGTCGGTGGAGAATAGCTTCGGCCTGATTTGGTGATCTGTAACATCCAGAATCGAAAGAAAATGGCATTTCAGAAAAATCGCCAGAAATCTGTGATGGTACCCCTGTGGAATTTGCCAAAAATTGACCCGAAATAAATCAGCCAAAATCGGTGCTTAATGGACATAATCATCGTTGAAGAATAGCCTCATGTCGAATCCATGACCTGTAGCCTTCATAATAAAAAAAGGCCTTTCGTCGCCACATAAATTACGAAAATGCCATAAGAAAATAAATTGGCCCAAATCGGTGCTTAATGGACTTATAATCCGTGGAGAATAGGATCAATATACTTCATTATCGGTGGAAATAGTCTTGGACTGATTCCGTGATCTGTATCCTCCAGAATCGAAAGAAAATGGCAATTCGGAAAAATCGTCCAAAATCTGTGATGATACCCTTTGGAATCTGCCAAAAATTGACCCGGAATAAATCCGCCAAAATCGGTGCTTAATGGACTTAATCATCGTTGAAGAATAGCCTCAGGCCGAATCCGTGACATGTAGCCTTCAAAATCCAAAGAAAATGGCCTTTTGTCGCCCCATAAATTACGAAAATGCCATCCGAAAATAAATTGGCCCAAATCGGTTTTTAATGGACTCATCATCTGTGGAGAATAGGATCTAGAGACTTCATTATCGGTGGAGAATAGCCTCGGCCTGATTCCGTGATCTGTAGCCTCCAGAATCGAAAGAAAATGGCATTTCGGAAAAATCGCCCGAAATATGTGATGGTACCCCCTTTGAAATCTGCCAAAAATTGACCCGGAATAAATCCGCCAAAATCGGGTCTTAATGAACTAAATCATCGTTGAAGAATAGCCTCATGCCGAATCCGTGATCTGTAGCCTTCAAAATCAAACAAAATGGCCTCTCGTCCGCCCATAAATTACGAAAATGCCATCAGAAAATAAATTGGCCCAAATCGGTGCTTAATGGACTTATCATATGTGGAGAATAGGATCTAAAGACTTCATTATAGGTGAAGAATAGCCTCGGCCTGATTCCGTTATCTGTAGCCTCCAAAATCGAAAGAAAATGACATTTCGGAAAAATTGCTCGAAATCTATGATGGTATCCTTTTCGAATCTGCGAAAAATTGATCCAGAATAAATCCGCCCAAATTGGTTCTTAATGGACTTAATCATCGTTGAAGAATAGCCTCATGCTGAATCCGCCTGTAGCCTTCAAAATCCAAAGAAAATGGCCTTTCGTCGCCCCACAAATTACGAAAATGCCATCCGAAAATAAATTGGCCCAAATCGGGGCTTAATGGACTTATCATCCGCGGAGAATAGGATCTAGAGACTTCATTATTGGTGGAGAATAACCTCGGCCTGATTCCGTGAACTGTAGCCTCCAGAATCCAAAGAAAACGGCATTTCGGAAAAATAGCCCGAAATCTGTGATGGTACCATTTTGGAATATGCAAAAAATTGATCCGGATTAAATCCACCCAAATCGGTGCTTAGTGGACTTAATCATCGTTGAAGAATAGCCTCAGGACGAATCCGTGACCTGTAACCTTCAAATTCCAAAGAAAATGGCCTTTCTTCACCCCATAAATTATGAAAATGTCATCGGAAAATAAATTGGCCCAAATCGGTGCTTAATGGATTTATCATCTGTGGAGAATAGGATCAATAGACTTCATTATCGGTGGAGAATAGCCACGGCCTAATTCCGTGATCTGTATCCTCAAGAATCCAATGAAAATGTCATTTCAGAAAAATCGCCCGAAATCAGTGATGGCACCCCTTTGGAATCTGCCAAAAATTGACCAGGAATAAATCCGCCAAAATAGGTGCTTAATGGACTTAATCATTTTTGAAAAATAGCTTCAGGCCGAATCCGTGACCTGTAGCCTTCAAAATCCAATGAATATGGCGTTTCGTCGCCCGTTAAATTACGAAAATGCCATCCGAAAATAAATTGGCCACAATCGATGCTTAATGGACTTATCATCCGTGGAGAATAGGATCAATAGATTTCATTATCGGTGGAGAATAGCCTCGGCCTGAATCTGTGATCTGTAGGCTCCAGAATCGATAGAAAATGGCATTTCGGAAAAATCGCCCAAAATCTGTGATGGTACCCCTTTGGAATCTGCCAAAAATTGGCTCGGAATAATTCCGGCCAAATAGGTGCTTAATGTACTTAATCATTGTATAAGAATAGCCTCATGCCGAATTCGTGACCTATAGCCTTCAAAATCAAAAGAAAATGGCATTTCGTCGCCCCATAAATTACGAAAATGCCATCCGGAAATAAATTTGCCCAAATCGGTGCTTGATGGACTTATCATCTGTGGAGAATA